TATTTAAGAGCTCAGATTATAATGACTGTTGTCCGTCAACCTGGAATGACTTTCTTGCCAGGGATCTTTATTGTTTCTTTCTTATTACATGGTATAACCATTCTTTGGTACTCATTTCCTGTAGAAGATTACTTTTCAGTATCAAGCTTCGCAAAAGGGCCTTTTTCTCAAGCCAAGGTCTGCAAACCTGTATAGCAGTACAGTGGGGCAACTTTCCAGTGATTGCCGACTGCACAGAAAAATATGGTGTCTGCTGCAGTTCTTCTTTCTTTCCATATTTGCTGCTGTTTATGATCACAAGCTGTACTTACCTAAAGAATAATCAAGGGCTGTTTGCAATGAAACACAAAACCAAGAAAAACTTGGCTGGTTTGGGGTTTCATTTACAAAATCAAATTGCAGTCAGGTTTCTTCCCCCTCAAAGGTTTGCAGCCCCTTTGGAGTAAGCGTCAGCCCAGTTCTGAGTGAACTTGAGCAGATTTATGGATTTTACACTGAAACAAGAGATGGCTTAAATAAACACCCAGGCTTCTTTCAAAGAATCTGGATCCATAATGGGCTGAGAGGGACTGTAGTAAATTACAAAAAAAGGACTTAACCAGATATTAGCTTCAGATTTGATAGTATAGCGATCACGCAAGCTATTCTTGTAACACCTCAGCACAAAAAAAAGCAGAAATCAAAGTGAGCCCAGAAAGAATGTAATACTGGAGCAGGCCTTGCTCAGGCAAACAGAAGGCAGTGAAACTACACCTGCACAAGGTGCCCGTCCAGACAGTACCTTTATCCCAGGACCTTCTGCAGCAAACAAGAAAGTGGCCAGATACTGTACCCTTTAAACATGGAAGCAATCGCTACAAAAGACAAAAAACACAAGATTTTCAAGGGTGGGAATATTGTGCTTTTGAGCCGAATATCTGCATCTTCGAATCTCTGTATATCTCTGCAATCAGAAATCAGAGGATTTTTTTATCTAGGTATGTTCCTGGGTTTTAGATGTTTGTTCCTGATTGGTCAGTTCTTAAAAAGAAAATGACAGTTGAGTAGAACATGAATATTTTGTATGTGTGCTGGAAACTTTATGAAACGTGTGGAGGGCACGTTTTCTCTGGTCAGGATAAAGTTGTGGGCCCCCTGGTCAACTTTGTACATCCTTTCACAAGAAGAGCAATCAGGAACAGCCATGTATAACCCAGGAACAGCACCCTATTGTTTGATGCCACAAGTACACAATCAAATCTGTCTGGACAGATGGCCACTGGCATCCAGGCTCTAAAAAGCGTCAATAATGACAAAGTTCTGCTCCTGGCTTGAAAGTGTGTGTTCCTGTTTGTTTATGCAGTGCTGACTTGGGCAGAAGTGGTCTTACCCCATACACTTTGTGTGGCAGAGACTTAATGAATCATCTGGATGGCACGGTTTTTCTGGCCAGGACAAAAAAAATGGAATATTTGTATTGATTCACTGGAGTGATTCTCCACATCTTGAGGGTTCCCCCCACTTCAATCCAGCCTCCACCTCCATAAAATGGACTGTCCTCTCTCTCTCTCTCTCTCTCTCTCTCTCTCTCTCTCTCTAGCGCCCCCTAGTGGTTTCTGCCTGGACACTTTGTGTGTGTGTGAGTGCCAGGAGCAACTTGAGAAACTGTAAGTCACTTCTGGCGTGAGAGAATGTGTCACAAACAAATGTTTCATAACAATATGGAGTTAAGGGACTCAAAACAGATTTTACAATGGCTCTACCCCAAATAGGATTGATACTAGGTAGAATGAGGCAGGAATTCCAGTGGCTCTCTCTCTCTCTCTCTCTCTCTCTCTCTCTCTCTCTCGCTGTGTGTCAAATGCTCCTCGGCAGGCCTGTAGGGGGGGGGGGGGGTAGGGGTTCAAGCCCCCCCCCTGAAATTTTTCAGGTAAAAAAACCTGGTTTACTCATGAATTTTAACTGGTTAACCAAATCCCCATGCTAAGTCTATGAGACGCAAAAAATTAAGAGTCCCTCCAGAACTGCAAACACTATCTCAAGCAAATATTGACAAATTATTCATACTGTCATTACTTGCAGCAATAGCCGATGTAGTGAAGCAACCAACTTGGTGGAGGGCGTGTTGAATGCTCTCATTAAGGAGGCCAGACTTGGTGGAGGTGGTTGACAGGGGCAGAGCTGCAGGCTATTGAAGGCTGCTCTGCCCCCTGCTGTGCTCTTTGGCTTCAGCGTGAGCTAGGAGGCAGGTTTCAACCCCCCCCTACAAAATTTTCAAACCCCCCCCCCCGAAATTTTCAACCCCTCCTGAATTTTTTTTCTGGCTACGGCCCTGCTCCTCGGCATGGTTTTGTAACTTCCCATGCCACATCAGTGGTTATCCAAAAGGGATAACCTGTTGCCACTGCTTCACATAATGCAGCTGATGAATTGCTTCCCTTTCCCTCCCTCTCCACCAGTAAGCAGGACAAGAACCACCTGGTAACTACAGAAGCATAGTCCCTTTTTAATAATGCTACTAAACACTATTAAAATACATATACCAGTAACAAAATAAACACAAGACCAACATCAATAAAATGCAGGTTAAAATTCACAGTTCAAAATTGATTGGGTAGATCTGATGGAAAAAAGAGGTCTTCAGTTGTGTCTTAAATTCTGACAATTGATTTAGCTGTTGAAGCTCTTCTGGCAGTCTTGGGGCAGCCAATGAAAAGATCATCCTGGTGACATTCGCCAGTCAGTTTCTGGCTGTTTGGAGTGGATGTCCCCCCTCCTCCCAAGATGACCTAGGTATCCCTTATTTGTGGGTTGGAAAGCTTGTGCCTTATAAGACTGGGATATGTCTCTTATTATAAGGGATGTACCTTATTTGAGAGTTGGAAAGCTTGTCCCTTATAGGGCTGCCAGGTGCCCACTATTATAAGGGATGGGTTGTTGTGAGTTTTCTAGATTGTATGGCCATGTTCCAGAAGCATTCTCTCCTGACATTTCACCTACATCTATGGCAGGCATCCCCAGAGGTTGCAGGTGAAACATCAGGAGATAATACTTCTGGAACATGGCCATACAGCCCAGAAAATCACAACAACCCAGTTATTCCAGCCATGAAAACCTTCAACAATACATTATAAGAGTTGTTCTTTATTATAGGGTTGGAACACTTTTCCTTTTATATAGCCTGGCCAAAATGCCAAACCAAAATGCCCTTCATAAAAGCATTAATGTATACATCATATAGTTTATGAATGTGAGTAATATGTTAATTTAATCAAGAAATGTATGGTTAATTTAACTGATATTGCTATTTCCTTTGGGATTTAAATGGAACACAAACTTCTTAGTGGCTGCTTTCTAACTGCCAACCCAACATGTCATGAATTCCATCTGTCCCTTATTGCTATTTTGATAAGCTGGCAGCACTACTTCAAGCAATAGTGGGACACACAGCAAGGGCTCCATTGTTGCCTACATAAGGGAAGATCCGCCCCTCCAGATATATTGGTCCAAAACCATTTGGTCCTGGGTTTCAGTGTTTTTCATCATTGTGAATTTTTGTCACAGAGCTGCTTATGGAAGTACTAGGATTGGTCATGAAGTAGACAAATGACAAAGATAGTTGATGAATTTCTAATGGAACTTTTCCATATATACATATATATTTAAAAAAACCATTTTTACCCCATATGGTGAGCATGTTTTATGAAGTCTCTCATGTCACCCAACCGCCCCTTGTTAACATATGGTTTCCTAAATGTAGATGTTCATCAGCTTGACTTTCTTTAAAGCTACTAGTAAAACATGCCTAAATATGAAACAGATGCCCAAGTGCACTTTGGGATAAATGTATTATGGAGACAAAACCATCCCTCGTCTCCTCAATATTGTGCTCAAATGTAGCTAGTTTAAAGCAAAGAAGAAGGAAAAAACTGGGCATGTGGTGTACACCTGCTTCCTGGTTGCGGCAGAGTTCAAACTACTTTGTGCATTTAGTTTCTTGTTTGTGTTCCCTTCCCACCATCTGTAGACTGTGTAGCATCAATAAATTCTTACTAAGGTAAGCTTTTGGACATTTTAAAAACAATTTGTAAAATCTGAGGTTTTATTGGTTGTTTCTGATCCCATTTATACACTGTTGTTGGAAAAGCTGTAACCTGAGGTGAACAAATGTTCTCATTTCCAAAATCAAATATTTAATATCTTAAATGAGATTTCCAGATCTATTATACAGTATGTTGCACTACCTAAATGCAGGCATGTTTATCATTAGTAAACAGGTTTTTGATTTGTAACTGAATGTGCTACGTCTCCCCACTCTTGAGCCATTGCTATAATACACCTATTTCCATACCCTGGTGTACAAGCAGTCCCCAAGTTACGAATGAGATGGGGTCTGTAGGTTTGTTCTTAAGTTAAATTTGTATGTAAGTCAGAACATGTACATTTTTAAGTGTAACTTTAGTCAAAGATAGATAGATAGATAGATAGATAGATAGATAGATATGCTGTGACCTAAAGGTCGGTGGTTCGAATCCACAGGAATTCCCATTGTTAAACCCAGCTTCTGCCAACCTAGCAGTTCAAAAACATGCAAATGTGAGTAGATCAATAGGAACCGCTTCGGCGGAAAGGTAATGGTGGTCCATGCAGTCATGCTAGCCACATGACGTAGGGGGTGTTTATGGACAACACTGGCTCTTTGGCTTAGAAATTGAGATGGCGTCAAGGTCGGAGATTTTTTCCACTTATGCTGCCAGTCGGGGGGGAGGGGGGGGTTGAGGGGGAGCCCGAAATCAATTCAATCTATATCCCAATCCCCTCTTTTTATAGTTACAATTTAATAATAGCGACCCTTAGAGCGTAATTTAGAAATATTAATTGCCAATTTATCAAGTAAGCCAATTTATTTGTTCAATTACCAGATTCTAATAATTTATTTACTTATCGATTAATTTATCCTTTATATTATAATTTATAACTTATAATTAACCGCAAAACCTAATAGTGAGGGAGCCCCCTCTTTAATTTTCTACGGCTTCCTTTTTCCTTGTCTCGTTATCTTCTTCTGCAATCCCCCAAGCTTTATCTGGCTTGGTTTCTTTTTCCTTGAAAGTTGGGGGGGGGGGGGAATCTCATTACCTGAGGTTAGGGTCTTTCTTGTCTCTCTCCCTCTTTGGGGATTTTCTTTCTTCTTTCTTCTTTTACTGTGAATGGGTTGGTGACGGTTAGACGTGCCTCTCGGCTCGATCCTCGTGGGGTGTCTCGCCTTCCCTTGTGCTGCTTGGACCCTCTCGAGCTCTCCTCCTTGAGGGGGGAGAGGTCTTTGGGGTCTTCAAGCCCACCTTGGGATTCGTGACACATTTGCACTCAATCCGGCAAAGGGGGGAGCCTTATAGGCTCAACCTAGCCACCACTACACAGGTCCTCGTCAGGAGCTCGCTCTTAACGAGGCTTCCCCGTCCACCATGTCCACCGGAAGTCCCACAGGAATTCCCATTGTTAAACTCAGCTTCTGCCAACCTAGCAGTTCAAAAACATGCAAATGTGAGTAGATCAATAGGAACCGCTTCGGCGGAAAGGTAATGGTGGTCCATGCAGTCATGCTAGCCACATGACGTAGGAGGTGTTTATGGACAACACTGGCTCTTTGGCTTAGAAATTGAGATGAGCACCACTCCCCAGAGTTGGACTCAATTAGACTTAATGTCAATAGGAAACATATATATGGTGTGGATAGCATAGGGAAGAGTTAACACCCCCTTAGCATTTATTTTGCTGCCTCTGCCCCTGTTCAAAAGATTTTACCTCCCTTTCTGTCCCTGCGATAATTGGATTTTTGAAAAATTTGGCTTGCTGTAGAAACAAAGATTGGTGCTAAAGCTTCAGTGGTGACACCTTTTTCCACATGATAACTATTTTAGAAGTGAATTTCCTTCCAAAGGGTAGATTTCTCTCACTTTCTATTGTCTCCCCCCCCCCCCCAAAGTCGCATGGCTGTAACATGGGGATTGCCTGTACTTGCAATTAAGTCATATGAGCCTATTATGGTGTTCAGTATCCATGGATACTAAAAGTAAAGGGACTAGGAGCCATGTGCAGGTTAGCCAACCCACAAGCCACATCGTTCCACTTCCACCGAAACCTTTGGGGTCCTCCATCACTGCAATTTATGGTGCACCATCATCGTTTCTTCTGCTGCTTCTGTACTCTTCATAGATACAATGTTCCCTACTAGAACATCCTGTTTTGAAATGAATCCCAAGGGTAACACAAGTGACAGAGTTCTGTCCTCTTTAGAGACTATCAGGCTTATCCACTTCTAGCATTCCAGATAACAAACACTATGCATCAATCTGAGCAGGGATTACATTAATAGATTTATATGGGGATATTTTATTAATTCAATAAAATCTTGAGATTGATACTTACACAAGCGAACAAAGTCAGGTCAATACTTCTCTTCATTTGGAGGAAGCACCACACAGACAACTATGGCCTTCTAACTAACAGTAGTCATGTGTGTGGCAAAGCTTGAAAGTTACTTTTTAAAAGAACTGTTTGTGCAATTTTTATAAGATCTAAAATAACTAGTTACTGCCTATATTAGTCGCCATCAGTAATGAGCTGAATTGTTCACTGCCTGAAATTTGAGGAATAATTTTTCCTGTATCTCTCAAAAAAACATTTGTAGCTTTCTAAATGAAACAAGGGAAAGAAATACAGCGGGCCCTTGATGTCCACTAGAGTTTTATTCCAGGACTCCTTGTGAGTATAAAAATCCCTGGATGCCCCAATCCTATCATATAGAGTGCTACAGTAAAATGATGTCTCTTTTTAAAAAGAGAGAAAAATGAAGGTTTGCTTTGAGGATTTTTAAAAAATATTTTCAAGCCACAGATATGGAGTACCAACTATAAATAAAAAGCAATGAATACACATTACTTGTTGTTTCAGAAAGTACCATTATTGTAACACTTGCAGGTAACATCATTACTGATAAGTAGCTGATATAAATATTGGTGAGAAGACAAATATCTATCTGTTCTTAATCTTTCAAGTATTTAGTTTGTGCACACACTATTTATCTGAATAGGAATATTGATTTTCATGACAGAAGTGTTGAGACAAAGCGAACTATGAGTGAGAGCAAACTTTTGAATAAACAATCAAGAAAAACTGAGAAAGGCAAAAATTCTCTCCTTGCTCATTTGATCCTTTATTGTAATACAAAGCCCACAAATATTTGTTAAGAAACTTTAAAGGGGATGGGAGGACTCAAGGCACCGGCTTTTTGCTTTGTTCTGACTCAGATTAGCCTCACCGAATGTACATTTGATATTTATTTCAGAAACAGGATCTTCCACCAAAAACTTCTAATGTGGTACACAATAAATCAACTAAAACGGCACACAAAAAGCACCACAACTCAAATTAAGAACAGCAAGACTCATATATGAGAAATGTTTTATTACAAAAATTAGTGAAGAATATCAAAAGTTGTATTGTCGAAGGCTTTCATGGCTGGAATCACTAGGTTCTTGTGGGTTTTTTCGGGCTATATGGCCATGTTCTAGAGGCATTTCTCCTGACGTTTCGCCTGCATCTATGGCAAGCATCCTCAGAGGTAGTGAGGTCTGTTGGAAGTAGGAAAAAATGGGCTTATATATCTGTGGAATGGCTGGGGTGGGGCAAGGAGCTCTTCCCTGCTGCAGTTAGGTGTGAATGTTTAGCTGATCACCTTCATTAGCATTTGAAGGCCTGCCTGAGTCTGGGAAATCTGTTGCTGGGAGGTGTTAATCTGTGCCTGGTTTTTTTCCTCTCTGTTGTTTAGCTGTTATAATTTTTGAGTTTTTTAATACTGGTAGCCAGATTTTGTTCATTTTCATGGTCTCTTCCTTTCTGTTGAAATTGTCCACATGCTTGTGGATTTCAATGGCTTCTCTGTGTAGTCTGACATGGTGGTTGTTGGTGTGGTCCAGCATTTCTGTGTTCTCAAATAATATGCTGTGTCCAGGCTGGTTCATCAGGTGCTCTGCTATGGCTGACTTCTCTGGTTGAAGTAGTCTGCAGTGCCTTTCATGTTCCTTTGTGCGTGTCTGGGCGCTGCGTTTGGTGGTCCCTATGTAGACTTGTCCACAGCTGCATGGTATACGGTAAACTCCTGCAGAGGTGAGAGGATCCCTCTTGTCCTTTGCTGAACGTAGCATTTGTTGGATTTTCTTGGTGGGTTTGTAGATAGTTTGTATGTTGTGTTTCCTCATCAGCTTCCCTATGCGATCAGTGGTTCCCTTGATGTATGGCAGGAACACTTTTCCTCTGGGTGGATCTTCATCTTTACTCTCATGGCTTGTTCTTGGTCTTGCAGCTCTTCTGATGTCTGAGGTGGAGTCTCCATTGGCCTGGAGAGCCCAGTTGAGGTGGTTCAGTTCATCTTGGAGGAGGTGGGGTTCGCAGATTCTTTTTGCACGGTCTGCCAAGGCTTTAATGGTGCTTCTTTTTTGACTTGGGTGATGGTTGGAGTTTTTATGTAGATATCTATCTGTGTGTGTGGGTTTTCTGTAGACGGTGTTACCCAATTGTTGATCTGGTTTGCGGATGACTAGGACATCTAGAAAAGGCAGTCTTCCTTCATTTTCTTTTTCCATGGTGAACTGGATGTTTGGGTGGATGCTGTTAAGATGGTCCAGGAACCTGTTGAGTTCTTCTTCTCCATGGCTCCAAATGGTGAAGGTGTCATCCACATATCTGAACCATATCGTGGGCTTTTTGGTTGCTGTTTCCAGGGCTTGTTCTTCAAAGTGTTCCATGTAGAAGTTAGCTATGACTGGGCTGAGAGGGCTCCCCATAGCTACTCCATCTTTCTGTTCGTAGAATTCATTGTCCCACTGAAAGTAACTGGTGGTAAAGCAATGGTGAAACAGAGCCGTGATGTCTTCTGGGAACCTCTGGTTGATGAGTGCCATGGTGTCTGCTACCGGGACCATGGTAAATAGAGATACCACATCGAAGCTGATCAGTTTGTCATTTGTATTTAGCTTGAGATTGCTGATTTTTTCTATGAAGTGGGCTGAGTCCTTGATGTAGTGTGTAGTGAGCCCAATATGGCTTTGTAACTGTGCAGCAAGAAATTTTGCTAGGTCGTATGTGGGGGATCCAATGGCACTCACGATGGGATACATAATGTTGATGAGAAAATGTTGATGAGAAAGAACACATAAGTTACAAGATGCTGCAGCAGTAGATTTCACCTGAGCCAACAAGCAAGATCAAGATTTAGCCCTTCCTCTCCTCTCCCCATTCTTGAATCAGTTGAACAGAAACTACCCTGACAGTTCAAACTCAGTATATGGTAACTGAGGTATGCTGAAGACAAAGCACGAAAGTGCAAAAGGAGAGAGAAACTGGGACACTGAAAAAGTAGAATGACGTAGGATAAATCAGGCCTGTCCCTGCCAAATAAAGGAAAACGAAGGGACATTGTTTTCTTTTTCCTGTATATTTGATCCTACCTATAAGATACGTTAGGTTGAAAGATTGTGATTAGCTTGAAATCACACAAAGATCACACAATGAATTTAAATCTGGGCCTTGTATGGTTCCAATCCAGTCCTCTAACTAGTCTATTGATATTGGACCACCTGATAAGAAGTAGCAGCTTGTAATGAAAGGATCAAGGCAGTGCCATCTCCGGCTTGCTGGTTTTGGATATAAACCAGCAAGCCAATGGCTTAAATCAAGAAATATCTTTCTAAGATCTACAGGGATACTTATGGGAACACCTCAGCAAGTGAGAGTCCAAAAGTGGCAAGCTAAAACCTGGAACCTCAATCAGTGGCAGATACACATGAGAGACTCCCTCCTGGGCACACAAAAGATTGGGTGATCTGGAAGGCACTGAATAGGCTGTGCTCTGGCACCATGAGAAACAGAGCTAACCTTAAGAAGCGGGGCTACAAAGTGGAGTCTGTGGCATGCAAGTGTGGAGAAGAGCAAACCACAGACCACCTACTACAATGCAACCTGAGCCCTGCCATATGCACAACGGAGGACCTTCTCACAGAGACACCAGAGGCACTCCAAGTGACCAGCTCCTGGTCAAAGCACATTTAGCATAATGCCAAGTTTTTAACTTTGTTTGTGTTCTTAAATACATTATAACTTTACCCTCAATTCGCTTCTGATACAATAAATAAAATAGAATACTAGTATATCATTCTCATGCTCTAACTGTTTCAAAGTAGAATTATGGTATTCAGAACTGTAGTCACAATGTTTACATTTGTTGGCATCTCCTTCCAGAGCTTCTCTCTCTGTGTGAAGTCTCTGGAAATTTAATAAGAGATTTTTGCCCCTGCAGAGTAGGGAACATGTTGACAGAGTTAAGCACAGAGGGCTTTCGTTCCTGACTACAATGTCTGGGCAATATTGTAATCCTACAAACTAGCCATTAATTCTGATATTGATACCCTGTTTATAACCATTCTTTGAGTAGGGCATGAGTCCAAAAGAACACTAGGAAATTCTTGGACTAAATGGCACTTGGGCAAACACAACGGTCAGCAAATTTGATTTCGTTCTGCGAGCTATGCATATGTTCTTTAATTTCATGCTCCACAATGGAACACAAATACATACTGAATTACAATACAGCCCCTATGTGTTATAGTATACCCATAACAGAATTAGGCTTCAAGTATTCAGTATGGGAAGTGTGACCAATACATATAAAAGGGAAATTAATGTGGAAACTTAGCACAGGAAGCAATTCTGTGAATTTCAGCAAATCCTTTATGAAGTGACTTGCTGCACCAGAAAGCAACTGTTTATATGGGGGTGTCCTGGCCCCAGGGCTCACAGCAGAACATTGTATTTTATGTGCATATTTAAGGGCAATGAACCTGTGCAATGTCCAAGATTGTTAAACCCATTAAGTATTACTTATTTTTCTAATGTGAACTTTTTTTATCATGCCATATGCATTTAAGTGCAAGAAAGAGAAACAACTTTATCATACAAAGCTGCTATTCCATGGCACTTGCACAATTACTGATAGTGGTGATATTTGAGGGGTGTTCATTAAAGGTTTTCCCTGACCCACTTCCTGTGGACTGAAAGCAATGAAACTTGACACAGTTACTAGTCCTTCTCTACATAGGTGCCACCTAGGGACACACACTTCTCCCATCTTTTTAAGCAACTGTAAACACCTTGCTTGTAGAAGTTGACAGGTTGCTCAAAAAGTCACATTGTGACTTCCGAAATCAGAGTCTCATCATCTGAAAAATGCTTGCTCTTCAAAAATAACTTCATTGCTGGAAAGAGGTGGAAGTCCGATGGTGCAAGGTCAAGTGAAAAGGGGGGACGTGGTAGAATTTCAAAGCCACAGGAGCATGCTTCCATTTGGGCAACATGTGACTTGTGAACTGGTGCACTGTCTTGTAGAAGAGTGTGTGGCATTCGGATCCGAGCGAGCCAAATCGAACACGGTTTGTGTCCTTTTTAAGGGCATATGCCGCGGCAATAAAAGCCGCAAAGAAAACTTTCTTTGCGGCCACTATTGCGTCTGCAAAGAACCGTCCGGCTGAGTTGTTCCGGATTGTCAGAGGCCTTTTAAACCCCGCCACTCTAGGTGGGAACCCTGACAATTCGGCCTCTCGCTGTGAAGCTTTTGCTCAGTTCTTTGCAGACAAAGTCGCTTTGATCCGTTCTGGTCTGGACACCATATTAAGGGCAGTCTCTGAGGATGTAACACGAGCACCTGCTTGTCCTAATTTTGATGGATTCATTTCAATTGGTGAAGCCCGAGGATGTGGACAAGATACTTGGAGGAATGAGGCCTGCCACGTCCATCCTAGACCCCTGCCCATCCTGGCTTCTAAAGGAGGCCAGAGGGGGATTGGCTGAGTGGGTTGAGGTGGTGGTTAATGCCTCCCTCCGGGAAGGCAAGATTCCAGCGAGCTTAAAACAAGCTATAATAAAACCGCTGTTGAAAAAACCATCACTGGATCCCACTAAATTTGACAACTTCTGGCCAGTTTCCAATCTCCCCTTTTTGGGCAAAGTCCTGGAACGCGTGGTGGCCTCACAACTCCAGGTATTCTTGGGAGACACGGATTATCTGGATTCGGCACAGTCTGGTTTCAGACCGGGACATGGAACTGAGACAGTCTTGGTCGCCTTAGTGGATGATCTGCGCCGGGAGCTCGACAGGGGGAGTGTGTCCCTGTTGGTGCTGCTGGACCTCTCAGCGGCCTTCGATACCGTCGACCACAGTATCCTTCTGGAACGCCTTGCGGGGATGGGCCTTGGAGGCACTGTTTTACAGTGGCTCCGGTCATTCCTGGAGGGCCGATCCCAGAAGGTGCTATTGGGGGACACCTGTTCAACCCCACAACCTTTGTCTTGTGGGGTTCCACAGGGTTCAATACTGTCCCCCATGCTGTTTAATATCTACATGAAGCCGCTGGGAGAGATCATCAGGAGTTTCGGGGTACGGTGTCATCTGTACGCAGATGATGTCCAACTCTGTCACTCCTTTCCACCTGCTACTAAGGAGGCTGTCGAGGTCCTGAACCGGTGCCTGGCCACTGTAACGGTCTGGATGAGGGCGAACAAATTGAAATTGAATCCAGACAAGACAGAGGTACTCCTGGTCAGGCGCAAGGCCGAACAGGGTATAGGGTTACAGCCTGTGCTGGATGGGCTCGCACTCCCCTTGAAGGCACAGGTTATCAGCTTGGGTGTGATCCTGGACTCATCGCTGAGCCTGACCAGGGGAGCATTTGCACAGCTTAGGCTCGTGCGCCAGCTGCGCCCGTACCTCGGGAAGTCTGACTTGGCCACGGTAGTCCACACTCTGGTTACATCCCGTTTAGACTACTGCAACGCTCTCTACGTGGGGTTGCCCTTGAAGACGGCCCGGAAGCTTCAATTGGTCCAACGTGCGGCAGCCATGATACTAACAGGAGCGGGACGCAGGGAGCATACAACACCCTTGTTGTACCAGCTCCACTGGCTGCCGATTTGCTACCGGGCTCAATTCAAAGTGCTGGCGTTGGCCTATAAAGCCCTAAACGGTTCCGGCCCAAGATACCTATCCGACCGCATCTCGACCTACGAGCCCACTAGGACTTTGAGATCGTCCGGGGAGGCCCTGCTCTTGATCCCGCCTGCCTCACAGGCACACCTGGTGGGGACGTGAGATAGGGCCTTCTCAGTGGTGGCTCCTTGGCTGTGGAACACCCTTCCCGTGGACATCAGACTGGCTCCTTCCCTGATGATATTCCGCAGGAAATTAAAGACTTGGCTGTTCAACAAGGCGTTCGAACAAGAAGTGCAATAATTGGTAATGACGACAGGAATGGAACAACGGAAAATGATACTGGATTGTGGTTTAGACAATGAGACGACGTGGAATGGCTTTTGTAGTATTGATGATGTTTTTTGATTATGATGTTTTTGGTTAATGCTGGACTGATTATTTTAGATTGTGTCTTGAATTTTGAACTTTGTTCTTCTATGTTGTACACCACTGTGAGTCGCCCCCAGGCTGAGAACAGCGGTATATAAGCAAAGTAAATAAATAAATAATAAATAAGGCGGACACCTTTGGTGAGCATATCATATCTCTTGGTTTTGATGGCCTGCTGCAATTTCCACAGCAGTGAAGCATAGTACGCCCCAGTGATCATGATACCCTTTGCGAGAAAATCCATCAATACTATTCCATGCTGGTCCCAAAATACTGTGAGCACGACCTTGCCGACCAAGAATTAGGCATGTGCTTTCTTTGGAAGTGGTGAGTCATGATGCTTACATTGCATCAACTGGACTTTAGTCTCAGGATCATAGTGATGGACCCAACTTTCATCCTGTGTGATCAGTCTGTTGAAAAAGTCCCCCTGGTTTCCATGGCACAACGTCAATAGAGCATTTGACTCATTCCTGTTTCTGGAAAAGTGTGAGCAGCTAGGGGACCCAGTGAGCGGATACCTTATGCATGTGAAGATGGTCTTGGATGAATTTTTTTTCATGGACCTCACACTAATCTTGACATCTTGGGCTAGGTGGCAAATGGTTATGCAGTGATTTTCCAAAATGGTGACCTCCTTTAGCTGGATGGTGCGTTCATCAATAGCAGAGT